ACACACAAAGGTTAAACAAATTCCCCCTCCTTCCCCCTGAGCACCTTCTCAATTTCAGCTGATGTCTTTGAAAATGATCACAGTTTTTCTAGGATAGGATTTATCTGTCTGGCCTGAGTAGTTTTACATCAAGACCGGATCATTAATATTGGAATTTTGATAAGAGATTAAGGTTTTGATTAGACGCTTTCCTCCCTCACAAGCAAATTATGATCACGGCTTACGCTTTGCTCATTCATCTCAATGTAACCTCAATTTCACGGATTATTGATAATCGAATGCAAACTGTTTTCGACGAGGAATAAAGTGGGCGTCAGTTCACCGATTTCATGTCTCACGATTTCAACCACACAATGAAACAATGTGCAGATTGGCTCATGTAACCAAATATTTTTATGTCTTATTAATAAATTCAGCTGCCTTCAGTTTGTGGCCTTCTGTGTAAATCCTAGTCATTTCTATTCCTCACATTTGACAATAGCTAAAAGTTATTAAAAGTATGAACTAACATAAATGGAAGTATAGGAATTATGTAAAATTATGGTATTAAACAATCTATAGCGTTTTCTTTTCCTTTACTGTCCAGTTCAACTCGTCGTCATCATCTTAATCAAAATACATAAATAACATTAATTAATGAATTTATTATTATTATTATTATTATTAATATTATTATTTATTATTTTATTTTTTATATTTTGATAATTTGAGTAGCTTACAGTTGTTTTTGTGCCACACAGAATGCAACAAACATTTAGCATCACAGCACAGGTGTGAAGATGTCAGAACAGCCTTGTTAAAGAAACAGATTATTAATTGTGAATTTTTTCACGCTATTAACTTGTATTGTTCGATCGTGGTAGAATAGGATCTCTTATGAGAATGCAGACAAACATCTTTTACCTGGTTTGGGGCCAAAATGGCCATTTCATTTTCCATAAACAGAGTCCACAAGAGAGTGATGTGGAAAGAATTGATTTTTTTTTTCTTTAGGCTTTTCGTGTTCCACTCAGTGTGAGAGGCTTGGTAAATATCATGTTTTTATGTTCTGCCATTGATCTCATTAGCGGATCAAAGCAATTGCTTTTTACAGTAAAGCGCATCCAGTAGTGACAACAAATAGAACCACCCCATACTGCTCTCCATAATGAAAATTATTCAACTGAGATCACCTATGCAGAAAAAAAATCAATTAATGTAAACCCTAATTTTAAAAAATCCTTAATAATAATGAATGTTATTATACACGGTAAAAAAAAATTATAATAATTTCCCAAGATTACTGGAGTACATTTTACCTAAAAAAACGACTTCAGTTTTTCTACTTCAAAATTGTACAAAATTAATTCAATGTCACTTGGCGTTTCTTTGTAATTGTACCAATTTCTGAGTGCAAATAGTTTATTCAGTGTACAATATGTTAACGTTAAGGAGGTCGCGTTATATAGGCTACATTGAATTGTTTTGATGGTGAAGAATACTTTGTTGCTTCGTTCTAGAAATGTAGTCCTTCGACTTTAGACTGCTTAGCATTTTAGCCAGCATGTTTAAACAGTATTTGTAATAGGTGAAGGGACTGGCTGACTGCCATGCAGACGCTAAAGCACTAGCTGCTTTATTTAGCTCCATGTGTTGATGTATTTCATTTAGATCAGTCCATTTCTTTTAAGTCGGATGTACAGCGCCGGAGGCTTGTAATCCATTTACTTAATGACATCTTACTGTGGCGAAATCATCACACTTCCATACACAATTATGCAGCTCGATTAGCAAATACCTGCAAAGCGTTTTTATTATTAGCGTTTTCTTAAACGTACCAAAAATAACTGTCCATCTGTTTTTATTGCTGATGAAAGACTGTTACTTAAAGCAATAAAAAGTACACATCAAATTCAATGCCAGGAGCGTGGTTTAGTTATGCAATTGTTGCATTTCCTCCTCTGTTTGCTCTGTGAAATATGCCGTAAGTAATTACAATGAAATTTGTCCAGTGATAGGAGTAATGTAATGTAAAAGTTTGCAGATAAAGATTAATTGACTGGCTGGCTCTCAGAGAGACCCTGCCTCTCAGAGGCACGAGAACTTACAATCTCTCCTTATTAGCAGAGAGGAATGGCCGGGCAGCAGAGCCACTGGAATATGAAATGACTCACTACTACTATGAGGGCATCGAGGTTAATTAACAAAGTATCTAACTGGATGGGATCCATTTGAACTGTGTGAGGACACAAGAAAGCACTTGCCGTCAGGATTGTTGAGAAGGTTGTGATGGGAAACTTGGATGAGTGGTTTTAGTGATTAGAACGAGCCCCGTTTATGAGATTATATGAATGAAAATGAATCATTCACATTGTGGTCTTTTATTCTCATTTAAAATGTTATTGGTTAAATGATGAAATATATTAAAGGTTTCATTCACTCAGATAGTCGCAGGGAAAGCCGCTGTATGGTATACGTAAGATTCCTTATTTAAACATGTCACTCTTGCTTACGAGATCAGAAAGATGTGTTTCATAAGACCTCAATGACGTCAGTGCATAAAACGATCAGTTCACCCTGAGAAGGCATAATGGGTCTCTGTGCTCTCTTTAAATGACACCAACAAAGGTGATTTTACTTGTATTTTGGGAAATTGATTTGACTGTAAACAAGTTCCCATGGGTGGCCACTGCATGACAATTAGCCACTGAAAAACACAATCATGACAAACGGCTCCCAAAAGGGTTAATGCAGAATGACTGCTGTCATTGTAATATGCACGGAGGACCCAATACGAAAAAATGAAGCGTGTCTTTGGGACTACAAAACACAATAGTGCAAAGACTCCATTTTTCCTAGAACACTATTCAGATGTAGAAATACGATTTATTGTTTTTAACAGGGTTTTTTTTTCTGTTGGTTTTCAGTCAGATATTATGTTTTCATGCATGAAAACCCATTCATTTGGTTTACAAACCAGACTTCTTAATTTGACACCTATTTCCCTGCTCCATTATTATGTTAAATGGGCATTCAGAACAACTGTAGAATAATGTTGAACCTTGTTGTCATCATTTATTTCTGTGTCTATTATTGTGTCAGAAATGCAAAATTTAACATGTTTGAACAATTGCAGACCAATTACTAAAACAACCAGTCAATCAAGTCAATAAATCAAATACCCCAAACCTTATGTATCTAAAATACATTTTAATCTTGCTCAAATTCACAATTGTTACAATTTGTAATTCAGTGGTAGAACCTCCCTCCTTTAATTCAAACATACTGTACAACAGCGGCATGTAAAGTGTGTTACATCAAGGCACAAGACACATCCATATTCAGGGAAGCCTTTTTATGAGGCACTGCTTTAATATGATCCCCAAAATACCGTAATGTGCTGAGACACATTAAAGGAACATGGGCCAAACCAGACTGTACATACTGAATGTGCTCTCTGCTGAGAGGAAAGAAAGAAGCAATGCTCTTCCTCGGATCCAAATGAGTAGAAAAATGAAGACTACTGATCACCGCTTTCTCTTTTCTTTTCTTTTTTCTTTTTTTTTTTTACTTATGTTGCTTCATGGAAGAGCCAAAAAAAGGAGCAGTTATAATGTCTGGCTGGATGGAAACGATCAATGTCAAGTGCTATCAATTGGAGTCCATTCAGATGAAAGTAAGGAGTTTCCATTCCCAGGGGTCATAATGTGGACATGATGCTTTCTCTTTTATTGACAGCAATCAAAGAAGAACTGTGGACGTGTAGACTGGTGACCTGTCGAAATATGTTATTCAGGATGTTATCAGAATTGTATATGACATCAGCAACATATCAAGAGTCCAGTTATGAAAATGCTTCTTTTTTGCATTCATTAAAATTGATACCATAAATATAATATCAGCATAACAATATGAGAGAAGTTAAACTGAAAAATTCTTGTCTTAGAATAGAAGAAAGTGCAAAAACAAGAAATGTGCAAAAGTGCAAATATTTCTTATTTCACATATAAAAATAGGCCCACTGCTGATAATGCTTCTTTCTGCATTTTCCTAAATTCATATCTTATCAAAATTATTATTTTAAATAGATTAAAGTGCAAAATCATGAATATTTCTTATTAATTTCTTATTACTTCTTTTACTATACTACAGAATTATAATATCAGCATAATAATATTGGAAATAAAATTAAATTTTTAGCTATTTTAAATAGTAGACAGTGCAACATGAAATATTTAGTAATAAATCATAGTTTTATCTTTCGCTTTTTTTTTTTTCCCCAAATGGACACCTTACTGTGTCAATTGTCACATAATTATAGAATTTTGTCACAAGAACATAAATATAATCATATACTGTAATATCACGCTAACATAAAGCACAATAATTCCAACCATTATCATGACGGAATTATCTTGATTGCGGCTCACATAAAATGAATGGGACGACTCTGGTAGTTAAAATGACACGAGAGTGTTCAGAACACTATTCACATACCATTTCACGAAGACCCATTCAGTTGACTACTCCTGACTGAGCCTCCTTCTTCTGCCGAACGCCTGAGAGCCCACATTGGTGGGGACAAATTTGCTGCTTCCAATTCCCCCCGAGCGGCTCAGGAAGTCTGCCAGGCGATGGGTCACACATGTGGCCGTGTTACAAGCTCTCTTCTGTGTTGTAACACTGGAGGGGGGGAAATATTAGGAATTTAAATATTCATTTGGAAGAAATTAATAAACATTTTAAAATTAAGAATTTGAAATGTGCAATATTCATATATTAAATATTTTAAACAAAAAAGAAAAATGGCAGCAGTAATATATCTTACCTAAAATGGGTACTTAAGCCTGATTACTTATAATTGATCAAATTAAAAACGGTTGCTCATTTCTGAGCTTTAAACAAACAACAAGCAAAAAATATCTCTTTCTAAAAATATCTTTATTAGATCAAGAACAAAGTCAAATCACACAAGACAGAAATTTTGCTGCGGGTTAAAAAAAACTCATCGTTACGCCCTATCTAGCAATGAGAGCTCCCCGATTTCATGAATCAGTTATATAACCCAAATAGATCCAGTGACTATATGAAATTAGTGGAACAGAGTCTGTCTTAGATTTGCTACTCTGCCAAAGAAAATAGAAAAAAATGTTCTTTCAAGTCAATCAGGCAAGCAAACTTCCACATGCACTCGCATATCAGGGCCAAGCACGGGTTTACAGCCGCTGCCGATTAGACACGATTGAGCGCCTCTCCGTATCCAGCCAACATATCACTCTCTTCCAGGCTGCGCTTCTTGCCTGGCGTACCCGCTCCTACATTGGTGCGTGGATATGTCTGCAGTTTGTGCAGCTCCTGGGACAGTTTCCCCAGCACGCAAGTGCTGAGGCTGGAGCAGCGCTTGGACACAGGTCTACCCAAGCTGTGAGGAAACAGACCACATGCAGAGAAACTCATAGACATGTAGACATGCAAGAGCATTCACATACAGGATAGACATGATGACAGGATGCATGTTGACATGCTTCCTCGCAAGGCTGTCATTATGGTCTCAAATCATGCTTCAATAATTCATTTCTGCTGCACTTTTCATGTCTTTACTTGAGCATATCATGCAGGCATTTCCTCACATGGTTTCAGATCATGCTTCCGTCCATGCCGTTTGATATACTCGTTTTCATGCATTAAGAGCAAACAGGCATTTACAAACGGTCGATCTCTCATAAATCTGATGGGTAAATAACGTTTCATGCAGAGAATAAACTGGCAGAGGACTCTGCAGCTTTAATCGAAAAATGAACCCCCATAGCTGTACAGAAATGTATCACATACCTGTCATATACAACAAGTACAAGTACACCTGATATTAAGGAGGCATTGCTCTCATGTTGGAAGAATTTCAGCCTTACTTTCTTAAATATGAGAGAAACAAATCAGTGCACACTCGCTAAATTATTCAACAGATTGTGTTTTGTAATGATTCGAGAAGTAGATACGATGGGATTTGTACCTGTTTTCCTCAGCAGCCTGTTGCTCCATGTCCTCCGCGGTCATCTGCATGAATTTTTTGACGATTGCGTGCAGCAATCTTCTCGCTTCGTAGTCGGTAAGCGTAGTTCGATCTGGTGATGATTCCAGTGCAGGCCTGCAATACAACAATTATCATGTCTTAGGGGACTATGCAAACGGTTTGTGTGAGGTATTCATTTTTTGCAAGATAAAAGCACTTTTTGCTTGCTACCTCAAATCCTAAAAATAATCAAAACAATCTGCTAAGAGTATGGCACTTAAATGCTGTCCAGTTGCCAAGTTAAGATTTATCACCCGATCAATACTGTCGTAAGCAGAGTGGGTTTGGCTGGGATTCATCTGATGTAATCAGAAGACTGATAGTCCATGATGCCGCAACCTCTAATGAAAACATATGCTCTCTTGCCTCCGTCTGAACGATTTCACTTACAGATATTTGTAGCTAATTTAAGGAATTATCATGGGAAAAAACACAGCTCTTTGAGAATTTATCAGCATGGCAATATGATTCTTATAAAACCTCACCTGGCGGGAGCTGCATTAGAGCTGTACATCTGGCAAATAATCAGAGCGTAGGCAACAAGGAAAGCAGAGATCTTCAACATAACCATGGTACCCTGTGGTAAAACATTTCATCATTAGATAGTTTACGAACAGACCGGAAAAAACGACTAAATTTGGTCAAGCCATTACTGGTGAAAAAGTCGAAAATGCATTTTTCCCATCTATTCATCTGTTGGTTTTTATTCCCCTCAAACTCTCTCCTGCTTTCCAATGTCATTGGCACACCATTTGACCTAGCTTAAAAACTAAAATATTATTTGGAAAGTCTTCTCCCGTTTGCTGCAGAAGAACCAGAGCTTTTGTGGTTGGTGCAGACGTCTCCTACTGTCAGGCGCTATGCTATAACTGCAGCATTAAAGATATTAGTCTCGTGATTTTCCTTCCAGCAGGACCCTGTGCATTAGTGTAATGAGCTGCTGTCTCTGCACCCACAGCCAGGTCTAAGGATCCGTCCAATTCTCCTTGAAAAAATCCATCGAGCATGCCTTTCTGTGCCGAAGAGTAATGTATATACCATTAAGCGCCCCCTAACATTTTATTTAGTTTATTTACACATGTCTGTAGTATAGTATATTGAGAATGATAAGAAGCATGGCACATCTAGTATGTGTCAAGCCATAAATAGTTGTTACTTACCTTGAGATGTTCGGCTTCGTGCAATAGATATAGAAAAGAGTTGTCCCAAAATAGAGGGGATATTTCAACTTGATGAAATTTTGAGTCTGTTGCATTAAGCTACAATACACCTGCCTATATACCCACCATGTGGGTCTCACTATTGACAGTGTGGGTGTTTAATGATTCTCCGACAGCCAACCAGAGCTCACTGCTCCCTCATCCAACCAATCAGATTGTCCTCGGGCTTCTGGAAAAAAATGATAAAGAGTGTCACACCAATGACGTCATTCTTCAATCACAAACTGCTCCATTCACAAAAATTTACCAGTGATAAGCAAAATTCAATATCGTTTGGAAAAAGAATGTAAGTAAACTATTTAAAGAAAGTCTATGATCTGTTTTTCTGTGTCAAGCTGGTACAAAACTATTGATTGTGATCTGTCTGTCTGTCTATCTATCTATCTATCTATCTATCTATCTATCTATCTATCCATCATTTTGTCTCTGCATACTGTATGTGATATGGCACAGAGTTTGCATGATACTTATTTTTTGTGTCAAGCTGGTACAAAACTATTGATTGTGATCTGTCTGTCTGTCTATCTATCTATCTATCTATCTATCTATCTATCTATCCATCATTTTGTCTCTGCATACTGTATGTGATATGGCACAGAGTTTGCATGATACTTATTTTTCTGCTTAGTGCTTTAATTGAATTTCTTTTACAATTATGATAACTTTAGAAATCCTTGAGTGAAGAACATACAGTACAAAGTTGTTGTGGCTACTTACTTAAAGAACAGAGAGAAAAAGGCACAAGGCTTATGTGTGACATTTTGGTAAATCCATTTCAAATTACATGCAAGACAAATGCTGATGGCGGAAAACAAACTCAAATACCCTTTTACTCTGTATCCTGTAATAATGTGTGATCAATTGCAACATTGCTCTTGTCCTTATTTGGGTTTCCGTGATGATGTGACCCTTTGTCAGAATCAAAGAGGTTACAACCATAACAAGCCTTCTATCTCAGTCCCAATTACAGAACTCTTTGTCTTGAGGCATCATCTGACTCCTCTTCTTTATTGGCTAAGGCCTAACAAACCATTTCCACTAAGAGACAGTGTTTGCTTCACATAGGAACCCCATTAGTCTGGATGAGCCTTTTAGTGCTATCGAACCCAAAGCCTCGCCAATGACAGAATCAGTAAATCTGGGCGACGTGACAGGACCAGGGACCCCCGCTACGGACGCAAACTACACTTGCACGCGTGATGAACTCCTTCTGACTAATGAAGGGTCATTTCCGCTAGAGGAACACTTTGCTGAGACTTACCATGTCCATAGATCAGTGAGTAAGCAAACAAAGTAAGCCAGCAAGTTTTCCTTTCCTGCGTGAAACTTTGAAGTCGATACTGTAACCTTTCAAATTTGGTCATGCTTTAACATCACTCACTCCACCCGGCCTTCTGTAAGTTATTTCAGAAGACAAATAATCATTTCGTTTCGAGGCAGATGATGTCCTTTTGGATAACGTTTGTTCATGGGCGGCATTCGCCTATGACACGCTTTGTGAGTTCATCTAAGGAACGGCATCGCTAACCGCAGCTGTTATCGTGGTGCAGAAGACATCCTGTTTAAACTGTTTAAACACCTGCAGATGGAACCGAACAGGGATTAAGTGTGATTGGTAATGACTCTGAGAGGAAAACTAAACACAATCCATAACCCTCTCTGAGACAAAGAGTAGCACTAAATGGTCAGTGAGGAGCCAGCACAGTTCATCCTTAGACATTAAGGAAATGAGATTTAATCACTGAGTGTTGCTCATCAATCAACCCTCTTGAGTGAGTTAGAGTTCATCACAATCTCGTCTGTGTGCTTTACTGATCACACACCATCCTTTTATTTAGACTACATACATCTGACTGGGATTGGCAAGCCACCAAGTCACCAAGGACTAACAAGAATGACTGAGACACCTCTGATGGGTATGAGCTGGGCCCATTCAAAACTGCTTACTGCATGTGCAACACTACAGCAAAATGCACTATGCAGGAAAAAAGCTATTTCTGAATCACGGCGTCCTCCATTACTAATTACATTTTCGGCTTCATCTTTGGCTAAAAAATCACAGCAAAGGATTTATTTTCGTTATGTGCCGGTGCTCCTCTGAGGTTCCACTTTCCTTTATTGATTAATCTATGTTGACTGAGATCCATAATAAGATGTGTTTCTTATGGGGGGATATATTGAATGTTCTAGATGTCCTGATTATGTATCACAAACACTGCAGTCTTTGAACAGAATCCTCTGAGACTTGCTGGATTTATCTATCCATACTGATGGAATGGCTCAGTAGAAAACTTCATAGATAATAAGGCCCAAGATACCACAGAATGGAGCGTCATCAATGTGCAAAAACACATTTCTACTGGAAAAACAAAACAGGATGATTTATGATCAAATTAATATGTACTGTTAACACTCTGATACTTCATTCACACATCCTTTAATAGAATAAAAACATCAGAGGTTGGTTTGATTTCTGTTATGCAAAGAAATTTGCTTTGTTTTTCCTCTTCAAACCTATTATGTTCTCAGGACAGCATTTCCCACATTACACAGTTTATAAATATCAGCTCATGCAATTTTTATAGGTTGCAATCAAGATAAAAGGTTTATGCCACTCTGAAGGCACTATTCACTTTTTGCTGAGGCGCTGTTCATTGATAATATATGTAAGACTATTTATTGATTTTTTTTTTTCTTTTGGTTAGTTTTTTGTTGTTCTTTTATTTAGTGATTTTGTGCACTCTGGAAGTGCAAATGTTTTGTGCTGTCTTGAATTCAACTGTTGATTCTTTTGGTTAGTTTTTTGTTGTTCTTTTATTTAGTGATTTTGTGCACTGTGGAAGTGCAAATGTTTTGTGCTGTCTTGAATTCAACTGTTGATTCTGAATTGTTGGTTGGATTAATAGGAAAACAATTTCCTAATTAAATATGAGTAATGCATTACAATATTTATGACGAACTACCGAGTTTTAAATATGAATGATTCTGCAGTGCCTAGCACTTGATAATATCATCAAACCCTTTATATGTTTATAAATGCTTGCATGCATTATACATGGTGCAGAAGCATAATGCTTTTGTTTAAATAATTAAATACGCCCACATCACCTTACAGATAATATAAATGATCACAGTGTATATAATATGTGCTTATAAAATAAACTGCGTGCTATTTTAGATGCCTGTGATGACTTGATAAATGTGCTGAGAACTTGCAGGTCGCTGCTTGGTTAAAATAGCAGAAAAAATGCTGACATGACTGGAGGGGAATTTCAAACCATAAGGTCAAAGTTTGTAGCACAAATCCTACAGTGCCAAAACTGGTTTTACTTCGTTTGCAAAACACACTGTCTCTTTCTCTCACTTGTCATGGAAGGGAGCTGCTGGACTATTGACAAAAGAAATGTTCTGGTCCGGGCGGTCTTTTTTAAGTTCTTTAAAATGTACCATTATCGTAAATCTTTAACTCTCTGTAAAATATTCTTCGGAAATTCAGTCAAACTCACATTATTTATAGTAAATTTAATCAATTCAAATTCACTGATTTCAAAATGTGTAATTTATAGTTTAATGTGCCTTTTACTTGTCAAGGTAGTAGCAATCAAGGACTGACTGTAACACGAGCAAATAGCATTCGAATACGGGCTGTAAAGGAGCGTCTCATTGGTTGGAACTACTGAACGGATACGCGCTTCCTTCAATGAACAAGTCGATCTTTAAAGGAGACATATTATGCCCCTTTTTACAATATGTAACATACGTCTCTGGTGTCCCCAGAATGTGTCTGTGACGTTTCAGCTCAAAATACCCCACAGATCATTTATTATATCGTTTTGAAAATTCCTATTTTGAGTGGAAGCAGAAACACGCTGTTTTTCATGCCTGTCTCTTTAAATACAAATGAGCTGATGCTCCCCGCCCCCTTTTCCAGAATAGAGACGCGCCATTATAGCGTGGACCTGCTAAAAAAAACATCTGTTTTGGTTCTGATTATCATGTTTATCGCGCTGAAATCATATGTTTTAAACCATATTAGTTTAAACTTCTGATATACGGTTTTCTGTGTGCACATCCGAAGCACACGGACAGAAAGCCGCTGTCACAGCATGTGAGTACTAAACTAAGTTCTCATTCACACACAAGTTTACGTTAAAAACACACACGAGTTACAAACAGTCGGTTATGTCTGTGAAGGTAAACAGCTGGGAAATAAATCGCATGTTTATTTTAGATCTGTGTGGCAGCAGCAATATACAGTAAATAAATCAATAGATCCACTGCTCTGTTGTCTGCTCTGAGGCTGGGACTCTAAATAGTGTTCTGTGCTCGTCTGTGCAGCTAATGACAGAACAGTTAGCATGTTTTGCTCAAACTTTCGCCATGTCATTAGAACTGGTACACCATTGTCGCTTGCGAAATCAAAATGACAGCGCTGTGGGTGGAAACTTACAGATTAAGGGGCAGTAATATTATAATGAGATCCCTTTGCAACATCACTGGGGAGTGAAATCAGACACGCTTGTTTTTTCAGACGCTTGCATAAAAAGGCTTACCAAAACAAAGTTACTGGGTTAATCTTTTTCACGTTTCCTTGGTTGGTAGATGCACTAGTGACCTGATTATAGCACTTAAACCCTGGAAAAGTCAGATTTTCACAATATGTTACCTTTACAGTCTGAAGGAGACTAAACTAGATATGTTTATGAATGGAATGAAATAACTGGACATTTTGAACTGTGAATAACTGTTCGTGAATGAAGATCTGCTGACCGACTGAACGAGGGGGGCATGTGGTTTGTTCGCAAGAAACGCTTCGGCGGAACTATGAATGCGTAAAAAATTACATAGGTAGGTCTACTTGTAACTTTTTAATTATGCAAATATTGTATTTTTACAGCTCATAGCATGTTGCAATTCTTGAGGAAAGAATTAAGATTTCCTCTTAAGATTCTTTTTCTGGAGTTTTAAGTGGATTTGTAGCCACATTTGTTGCAGATAAGACTTGTGTCTATGTAGACTGTTGTTTAAAGGTGCAGTAGGAGATCTTGGAAAATGCTAACTTTAGCCTGATAGCACTGAAAGCGAACGTCCCACCCTCCCTGCAATTGCCATCCAAAGCCACGCCCCCTGAACGCATATACACTCACAGACCAGAATACCAGAGACAACATACAATAGGCTACATCAGCAGTTCCCAATTCCAGTCCTTGCACACACTTCACACTTCTCTAGTAAGTTTCGTCTGTGTGTGAAGACGCTGCGCAGCGCAAATCCGTGAATGAATGTTACTACATCAGCCGTTCTCAATTCCAGCCCATGTTCCGAAGAGAAGTAAACCCCTGCTCAGGGAGTAGGGAGCAATGAACATGGTGTAGGGATCATATCGATCGGAACACAGTTCATGCATGTAGCTCACTTCTAACGAGTTGGTTATCTGAATCGGGTGTGTTAACTAAGCGAGACATGCAAAATATGTAGAGCGGGTGGCGCGAGGACTGGAATTGGGAACAGCTGGGCTACATCATGTGTCATTCACCGGTCAGAAAACCTTAAAAGTACTAGAATACCAGGAAGGAAGATCGGGTTGTTGATGCTTGTCTGCCATTCTCGCTCTGTCTGCACAGCGTGCGTGAAACGCGTACACGCCTCACGCACCAGATGCCTGCGCGTGCCCAAAGACAGTTGGACATAGTGGTGTATTAGAGGTAAAAAATGATATAAATACTGTGTTTTAGGACATCAATGTGTCGTCAGCCGTAGGGTTTAATTTGGATTTGTCTGTGCATGTTTTTTTTACTCTCATAGATTTTGTTACCATTGCCATGCATTATAAGACTGATAGACTGCAACGGTTGGACTTAAAAATCATCATATGTGTTCTACTGAAGAAACAAAGTCACCTACATCTTGGATGCCCTGGGGGTAAGCAGATAAACATCAAATTTTCATTTTTGGATGAACTATCCCTTTAATCATTACATGCACTCTCGCTTGTCCCCACCTAGTGGAGCAACGATGTAACCGCAGAGACGGACATTGAATGAATCAGTGAACGAGTCATTTTTGTGGGGGGAGAATAAAAAGATTCGATGAATCAACCATTAGTTCAAAGAAAAGGTTTCCACTGCAAAGTCCTTTTTGGTTTGTATGGGTGGGCGTGGCCACATGTATGTTGCAAGTTACAAAGAATAACGCGCTTGGAAATGTAGCAGTGACGCCTGCCCTAATGAAAAGAAATCGGTCTGAATTCTCGCGATCAATAGTTCTGGCCACCGTTTAATCAAACACAATGCAAGTTAATCCAAAGCGCTCTTTCCGCCAGCCAATCTTAGCCTTTAAGAGGCAGGGGTTATAGAGCAACATGTGCAAGGTGATCTCCCAATACACTGACTGACAGAGAACGGAGCGCTAGAAACTTTTCAGAAAGCACAGATTATCTCAAAGTGTTTGCATCTAAAATGGTATCGATTAAACGGTTGACATCTCTGTTCTCTGTGTCTTGGGAGCAGACGCTCATATGTCTGGGCAGTTTGTTCGTTACACTCTTCATTTTGCTGGTAATTCGCCAGCTCGTAAAGCAGCGGAGACCCCGAGGGTTTCCCCCTGGACCGACACCTTTACCCATGATAGGGAATATTCTGTCCCTAGCCACAGAGCCTCACGTCTACATGAAGAGGCAGAGTGATATCCACGGACAGGTACGGATGACACTTCACTCTCAGTCCTCACTTTCGCTTATTTACTTGCACATAATCACAAAATATAGACAGTAGACTTGTCTGCTTTTAACTTTACGTTTTTGCTTATATTTTTTGTTGCCACGTTTGGTTTTGCTGTTTAAAAAGCGAGTTTAAACCACCACATGATAATTATTATGTATAATAGCGTATTGCATCTTACACCCTGTCTTGTAATGAAAGAAGTTGTCCACAATGGAATCGATCGTTGTTGCGCCCTAAGCAGAGTTTTTCATTTCTGACAAGCTGCAAATATACACTACATATATACACTACCAGTCAAAAGTTTTTTTAACAGTAAGATTTTTAATGTTTGCTCACAGGAATAAATTACATTTCAAAATATATTCAAATGGAAAGCAATCATTTTAAATAGTAAAAATATTCACAATATTACTGCTTTTGCTGTATTTAATGCAGGCTTGGTGAGCAGAAGAGAATTCTTCTAAAAACATAAAAAAATCTTCCTGTTCAAAAACTTTTTACTACTAGTGTATACTATCAGTTGATAACTTCTTACCATAAGAACATTGATTAATAATATTAATAATAATATAGGCTACTTACTGTGTTCTTGAATTTTCAATGTAAAACATGAAGGGTTGTAATAAATTAATAATTTAAATGTTAGTACATAGTAGTTAAAGACACTTTATTTAATTATTATTATTATTATTAAGTGGGAGATAGGGCTGCACGATTATGACAAAAATCATAATTGTCTATTATTCCCTTGAAATTGTAATTGCGATTATTAATTACGATTATCACAATTTACATTGAATGATGTTTATACCATAGTTTGATGCAACTGCATGCCGTATTTTTATATAAAAATAAACAAGCTGAAAACACTCTAACTGAAAATCCTTTAGTGCTTTTCTATAGTAGCCTAGCTATTAAGCCAAATATGTCAAATATACATCGGATTGGTTTCTTCTTTAAATTATATAAAAAAGTAAAAATATGAATGGTATTATAATGTTATCCTACTAAAACTAAAACAATGGAAAACCCCGTAAGATAACATGTAGAAAGAAAAACACATATCTCAAGCGTGCAGAATAACATAAGTGGCCTTTGAACGATTAATTGCCGCTTTGAACGATTACGTAATTGTGGCATCCATAATTGTAACTGCGATTAGAAATTCGATTAATTGTGCAGCCCTAGTGGGAGTCCACTAAAACTAAAGTTCGCCAGTTATTTACTCATTTTACTGCTGAGGTCTCTCATCGAGCTCACAGCTGATTGGTCCGTGTTAGTGAATCACAGCGTTCTCTTCTTGACGCGTCGCGTCGCGAGAGGTGTAGCTGGGGTGCTTGAAAAGAACAAAAGAGTCTTGCATTTGCCGTTGCGTTTTTGGCAGTGCGCCGCAGCACTCAGTTTTGTAGAATGGCCAAGACATGCTGAGTCAGCATGCCTAATTCATTTCCTCACTGTATCCATGAGAGTGAATGTAGCCTTCTAATTATACTCCTTCATTAGTAGAAATATGTTTGGCAGGGGAGTGGATTAATGAATATTGCCATTTTATTATCCAGATTTTCAGTCTAGACCTGGGAGGAATCTCGACTGTTATTCTAAATGGTTATGATGCCATTAAAGAGTGCCTATATCACCAAAGTGAGGTTTTTGCAGATCGTCCATCCCTCCCTTTATTTCAGAAGATGACAAAAATGGGAGGTAAGTGGTTCCTTATAGAATCATTTATTTTAGAATGATTTCCCAGAATAGAGCACTGCAGAATGATCTAGATTAAAGGAATAGTTCACCCAAAAATTAAAGTTTTTTTATTATTATGATTATTCCCTCTCATGTTCTTCTAAACCTCATCACCAACCTCATTATCTTCGGACAACGTTTCACCTACGATGAAGGGTTACTTGCATGTAATTATGCATAATTAAGAGTCATTATAATAGTAAATACATGTAACGTGTAACAAGGACACCTTAAAATAAAGTGTTACCAAATGTTCTATGTGAAAAGAAAAGAAAAATTCCTCTAGCTTTATGTAGAATATGTAACAGCACCCAGGTTTAGAACAACACAAGGGTAAGTGAATTAATTGATTTTTCATTTTTAGTGAACTATTCCTTTAACTATCTGGGTGATTCAGAGAAAAGGCTCTGGCATGGTAATGTATGTCAGAGTTGGGGCAATAGCTAGAGAAGAGCGGACAGTCACACATGAGGTTATCACTTTATCAGTATCGCAGTTCTTGTAATCTGTGTTTAACCCATGAGACTAGTACCGTTTGACTAATCATCTCAGGTTAAACATACAGAAAGTTTATCATTAGATAAACTTTCTTTGTTTCCATATTTAAACCGACATCTCTCAGCATTGTTTGTTCTCTGTCTAGGCCTTCTGAACTGCAAATACGGTCGAGGCTGGATTGAACACCACAAACTGGCCGTGAACTGCTTCCGCTTCTTTGGCAGCGGTCAGCGGATGTTTGGGAGGATTTCTGAGGAGTGCCTGTTTTTTCTCCATGCCATTGACCAGCATCAGGGGAAGCCCTTTAACCCTAAGCATCTCGTGACCAATGCCGTGTCCAACATCACCAACCTCATTATCTTCGGACAACGTTTCACCTACGATGACAGTGATTTTCAACACATGATTGAGATCTTCAGCGAGAATGTGGAGCTGGCAGCCAGTGGCTGGGCTTTCCTGTACAACGCCTTCCCCTGGATGGAGTACGTGCCCTTCGGGAAGCACCAAAAGCTCTTCCGCAACGCCAACAAGGTCTACGACTTCCTTCTGCAAATCATCAAGCGCTTCTCGCAGGATAGGGTACCCCAGTCACCGCAGCATTACATTGATGCTTACTTGGACGAAATGGAGCAGAGCGCCACCGATAAAGCTACATCTTTCTCTCAAGATAATCTCATTTTCTCTGTTGGAGAACTCATCATTGCGGGAACAGAGACTACCACAAATTGTCTGCGCTGGGCTATGCTCTATATGGCTCTGTATCCCAGGATACAAGGTTGGTGCCCACAGAGCAATGGGTATTTTTTCTCGTTTGCATCATTTGAATGTCGTTGCACTAATCATGTTACGTTTTTTCCGTGCAGAAAAGGTCCAAATGGAGATCGATTGCATCCTGAATGGCAGACCACCTGCTCTTGAAGACAAGCAGAGGATGCCGTATGTGGAAGCAGTGCTGCATGAAGTCCTGCGCTTTTGCAATGTCGTCCCACTGGGCATCTTCCGCGCTACGTCTCAAGATGCGGTGGTGCGTGGCTACACTATCCCCAGGGGCACCATGGTCATCACTAACTTGTACTCGGTGCATTTTGATGAGAAGTACTGGAGTGACCCATCCATCTTCTGCCCAGAGCGGTTCCTTGACTGTAATGGCAAATTTGTCCGGCATGAAGCGTTTCTTCCTTTCTCCATAGGTAAACGGCAGATATTTGGGAAATCAGTCAGTCTAGAAGATTTTCGTTGTTCTGATGTATCTGATTTCTGTGTGTTTGTCTTTAGGTAAGCGGCACTGTCTGGGAGAGCAGTTGGCCAGACTGGAGATGTTCTTGTTCTTCACCACGTTGCTCCAGAGGTTCCATCTTCAGTTCCCCGAAGGCTTTATTCCAAGCCTCTCTCCGAAACTAGGCATGACACTTCAGCCTCGACCGTACTCCATATGTGCCATCAGGAGACAGCAGTAAATCTTGCCCCATGAGCTCTGGAACACATGCACTCACCTCAGGGGATCCTACTAAGAAACGCAAACGGCAGAGCAGTTCCCTGTCTTAAATTCCATCAGCGGGGAATACTGACCTCTGATATTGACTTGTTAAATTCTCAGAACGTGTCCTCCATAGTTTCACAGAACCCAGCCTGAGAGTGATAAGAGTACTGCTACAGAACACATGCTCGGGAGAGCAAAGAATGAGCACATGTGTGTTACCCAACGAGAATGTACATGAGGGTATCAAGATAAATGTAGCATGTATCTTTCATAACTTGAACCAATAAGTGTACTGTGTAGCAAACCGAACGTTGTGCTTGTCAATATGAGAAGAGCTTTTGTGTCAGTGATTGACAGGGTTTAACTCTATAATGATTTTGAGGTCTGTCTTTTCCAGCATTCCTTGAATTCCCCCATTTCTGGAGTCGGGCAAGTGAGAGGAGAACAGTTCCCTTTCCCAGAAAGTTTTGGAAATGCTTCATGACTCCCATTGGTTTAATGCCATATATCATTTCTGCAATAACGGCCCTGTCCCTAGTTTATCTCCGTGGAAAGAGACTGTCGTGAAACTTGAGCTGCAATATTTCTGACAGAAAAAAAATGGTGCTTTCATGAAAAGCTGGACTCCAATATACATTTTATAGCTCAATATTATTTTTAGTTCACTTTTAACAAGTTTATTTTTGCATGTTGTGATAAAAAAAAAAGAAAAACCTGACAAAAAATTGTATACAATAAAGACAAAATAAGCCTTAATTTTGCGAGTTCCTAAGCTTTCTGTCTGCGACCTCTTTCAACTGTGCTGGAATTTTCCAAAGCCAATTATACACCATATAAAGCTGGAAAAAGGAGCATATAGATAGAAACCTCAAGATTTCCTGAGTGACTCGTGTAGTTGTACCAGTTGGTTTGGCACATATCAAAAATGAATGATTTTCAATGGCATTTTTTTTTTTTTTTTGCTCTGCTAAGTGTTTGTTGATTGTGAACCTATGTAATATCTTATTTTGCTTCTGCAGTGCCTTCAAAGCCCCCATGTTGTCACTGTAAAAACATTTACAGGCTAAAAAAATCTTTCCGGTCTGTGTCGTCTAAACTGCACAGGACCGGAAAACTCATTTAAAAGTGGAGCGACGGGTAGGGGCATTGTTGCTTTGGGTAAGCTGTCACAGAGATGCTGTCATCTGAAGAGATAAGGCTGGCCTTTCATACGACCCACACTTGGGGACTCGTCATCCGCCGACTGTCATCTTACAGGCAGTTCCTCCCAGGAGAACACTTGGGCTTTCATCTGAGCACGAAGGAAACATGCAACTCGATGATGCTCAGTAGCACTCTTAGATAATGTCAAAAACATGTTGCATCATAGAGATAATTCTGAAGGGTGAAGACATTCTGCTTGTGTTTGGACATCTCTTAATAGGTGAAAGGTCATACCTGGATAATGTGGTTTGCGCAAGTATTATGATTCTACTATTAACAAGACCAGGGGTTTTCAAATGTTTTGATGGCAAGGATACCCAACAATTTTGATCCCTTAGGGACCCTGAGAATTTTTCATGTATACAAAAAAATGATCAGTAGAAAAGTAAAATTGTTAAAGTCAATTGTCAAAAGCATTTTCAAGATAAAAATAAAAATTCCTTTAATATGCTGTACACTTAAAACATAAATTCTTTCCTCATAAGTAGACAAGAGTATCTGAGAATTATGTTATGTATATATTTTTATGTCTTTGATAAGCTGTCAACTCATTTTTTAAATCGAAAAATGTTTACTTTCGAGTTCACAGCTCAAGCTAAAAAAAAGTATAGTTTTGTGGGGGAAAATACAAACTACATCAAATCAAATGTGTGGGGTCAGTACATTTTTAAAGAAATGAATACTCGTCAAGGATTAAAGCGATCAAAAGTGACCCTAAAGATGTTTATAATCTTCATAATATTCTATTCATGAAAGGATCCTGCTTTGTGGTTTTCACAAAAATATAACGCAGCGTAGCCGTGTTGAGGTAAATGTTTCTTGAGCACTAAATCAGCATATTAAAATGATTTCTGAAGGATCATTTGACACTGAAGACTGGACTAATGACTGCTGAAAAAGTTTATAAAGTGAATTTACAATATTTCACCATGTTTTTGTTCATGTATTTATGGAGCCTCAGTGAACAAAACATGCAGATTTTTTCTTACCGTTTAAAAACTAGTACTGTCAATAGATTTCATTAATATCATAAGTGCAAACATCGACTTCCCTGACGGCTCTAACAGCCTTAGAATACGTTCCCTGACGCCCCTAAAATACATTTTTTCATTCCTTTTTTTTTTTTTTGCATGCCCATTTTCACACACTAATTTGAAAACCCCGGACTTAGAACAGGCAAGTACACAGAAGACAAAAAAAATGACACAGACAGGCAGAAATCAATTGAGAGAGAGAGAGTGAAACTCTTGTTCTTTCACACACTAATTTGAAAACCCCGGACTTAGAACAGGCAAGTACACAGAAGACAAAAAAAATGACACAGACAGGCAGAAATCAATTGAGAGAGAGAGAGTGAAACTCTTGTTCAGGGATGGTGCTTTTATGACAGCTATAAATAATAACAAAAAAGTCAGTTCTCCCCACAACCCTGAAAAGGCTGAATGGTTACATCAGACATTGCCATCTAAATGCTACATAAAAAAGTGAATGCCATCGTAAAGTTACTGATGACAGGAACATCGGAGGTTACTGTGGTGCGACGAACCCCCAAAAGTGAGATACCACAGTTGAGCAAGTGGTCAACACGAGGGGATGGGGGTGCTGTGATGCTCTGATCCACCGTCACCCTGCTTGGCAATCTGTTTGAGCCCAGCCGGGCTGAGCTCAGTGAAGTGGAGGGGAGGGTGGACGAACTGAGCCACACTGGAGTCCCGGATCCAAGAACTGATGAACACACAGTCTGGACAGAAAAAGAGAAAGACCACAAGCTGCTTTGGGTGCGCACAAGCCCCCAACACAGAACACACCCTGAGCACAGGCCAAAAAAGTGACTAATGAACAAACCCACAAAGGGAGACAGAGACAGGGAGGCATCCGGCATCACCACCAGCTTTAGAAATTAGGGGCTTTCGGCAAAAGAGTGGTTATGGGCAGGAACAAAAGACAGTGCACCCAAAAAACAACAACCAACAAACTGAAAAACACAACACCCAAACACATCCACATCTGTAAATAGCATTAGATTAAAAAAAAAAAAAAACTCCTGAAACAAGATGATAATTACATGGTCTCAATGTACATTATATGTCAGCTGTATGTAGAAAACAGACGCATTGTTGATTAATTAAAAAATATATAATATAATATATATATTTATATATGCAAGTATTCTTTCTGTGCAGAGGTTAAACACTTGTTTGGTAGTAAAATGTGCACATGTATATCTTTTTTTTTACTCTTAAATAAACTAGCTTGATTTACACTGCCTACTTGAGAACTTTCCTCTACAGAGACAAAATGAGTTTTTGTTGAGGTGAGGCAGACCGAGAGAGAGAAAGAGACCCGGGTTCATCTCCGCCTCCCCGTCCTCCCCTCATTATTCTAATTGAATGCCTAGAGTTCTTGCTTGAGACAAAAAAATATATAGAACTATTAGTATTAAACTTGCCTTATGATGAAGAATAAGAAAATACAAAGGAAAAAAAGTACAGCTTTCAAGGTGAAACCCTGGATTCCTTGAAAATTAACTGGCCGGATTTTGCGTTTGGCAATAATTAAAGTACAAGCATGTTCAAATAATGCCAAACATGAAGTTACCCCCAAAAGCAATGTTTAGTCTATGACATGCATGCTAACGCAAACATTTAGTTTTCAGTTAACTTCCCTGGCTCCCAATTCTTATCAGGGGGTCTTTGAAAAAATAAACATGGATATACTGGTCTGGAGCAGATGATAAGGATGGGGGTTAATATGTAGGACACTGCACTTTGGGGGAGCATCTTTTGTTGTTAGCGACTTTCAAGCTATTCATACAAAAAATAAACTTTTTTTTTTTGTCCCACCTCTGAAAAGAATGTTCGACGTGCAAGTTGAAATTGCAGAATTAAATTTTCGCAAAAAACAAGGATCAATCCTTCACATGAATCCTGAGTAACCGTGAAAAAATATATCTATTTAAACGTAAAAAAGGAGAAACGTCCCTTCATTTGAACAACATTCCTGTCCCATTTGCGATGCTTTTAAACACAGACGGACTTTACAGAGAACGACTGGCAACTCAGCGTTCCTGAAGAGGAAAAAGGGGGAGCCGGGGGACACCACAAATGGAAAAAAAGAAAGAAACAACCTTACAAACAACAAATGCAAACAAAAAACTGCAAGAAGGTGATCAACATGAATCAAAAGCATCCAAAACGATGCAGAAGTCAGGTCATTTTTCAGTCAAAATGTCAACATTTCCACTTGTCCTAATGACTGTTCAGTAATACAGTGTTTATGTCGCCAGCATGAATTGGGGACTGCACATACAGTGCAGCGTGCATAGCCCATTTTCTGGACCACAAGAAAAATAAAAACAAACAATATTTTATATATATATATTTTTTTTTTTAAAGTTCAGACAGGCACATTTTGACACTGAGCCTGAAACGGCTTCAGTCGTAGTCTTTCTATGTTTTTGAACTGTTCGCTTTGGTAACGGGTGTCAATTGCGTCATTGTCTTTTTTGTGTCCTTTTGGACTTAAGTACCTACGGGAGAGTTAAGAGCTCTACGTTCTAGGCCAGGGAACCATGGGATGGCACGATTCTCCCCTGCCTGTGTTCTTCTCCGTCTGGTTTTAATCTCACAACACGATTCGGTGTCTTCAAAGCTCTGTTCGTTCTCCGCTGCTTCTCCATGGGGTGAAAGTGCATAGGAGTGGGGTTCCCACCAAAGGGTCCTCTCACAGTAGTAAGGCCTTTTTTTCAACACAATGTGAACTGCATTAGCTTCAGAGTGTCGGCACAGTGACGAATTTCAGCGCGGGGAGATCCGCTAGGGTCTTCCTCTGGGTGTCAATGTGTGTGTTTGTGTAGGTGAAGGAGAGGGACGGGTCGTTTAAGCCCCTCGGTGAGCTTCGTTGCTTGTCCTTCTCCTCTTGCTACTGCCGTTCCTCCTCCTCGGCCTCCTCTTGAATGACCTGGATGTCGTCGGAGGAGGTGGTGGTGGACGGAGGAAGGCTGGGGCTCTTGGATTGCTGCTGCTGAGTCTCCAGCTCTTTGGCCTTCTCCTCTTCTTCGATGGTCTTCTTCCACACCTTGTGGTTCTCTGTTAAGTGCTGCATGATGCTGCAGAATAACCGACGTTGACCCTTCCTCCTCTCTGTAAGGAAAACTACTCGATTAGTGTGTGCGATACCTAAGTACTAAATTAAAATCTAAACACAAATGGTCTATCTTTTTACAGAACTGTATATTCATACTTGGTTCAAGATCCTCGTCCAGTTCTTCATCTTCCGTTTCAATGTCTTCTGTTTCTTCTTCATCGTCTGAGCCCTCCTCGTCAATCCAGTATCCCGGCAGCAGGCCGGCAGCATCGTAGGAGTTACAAAGAGGCCCGACGATGTGCGTGATAAAAGACTCCTGCAGCTTTGCTAACTGTGGTGCCGAGCGATCCATGAAAGGGCTGATGGGTAATCCTAGAGTGGCTTCTTCATCACCCTGAAAAGGCGGAAATGCACAAATGTTGATCTCAAGCTGCTGTATGTTGTGTAAGTTATGTGAAGAGAATAGGACATACCTGCTCATAAAACTCATTGACGATACCCTCTGTCCATTTGAGGTGAAGGCTGCGTTCTTTGGCTGGCCCATTGATATCTGCCAGCTTAATGCACACTTGGCACACTAACAACCTGTCATTTTCATTAGTCCAGTCGATGCCTGGACTATTCACATCATTAACCTGTAAAAAAAAAAAAGGATCAATCAGAGGATTAACCTAAAAATAGCACAACTTTCTGCAGTAGGCATGTTCAGGAGATATGTATTAAATTATACATGTTTAAACAGACTACTGGTCAAAATTTAGAATAAAGAAGTTTTAATGTTTTTGAAAGAAGTCTCTTATGCTCACCATGGTTACGTTTATTTGATCAAAAACACATTGTGAAATATTACTGCAATTTACAAATAACATTTAAAAATATGATTACAATTTAATATAACTGTTTTCTATTTGAATATATATAAAACGTCATTTATTCCTGTGATGGCAACGCTGAATTTCCAGCAGTCATTACTCCAGTCTTCAGTGTCACCTGATCCTTCAGAAATCATTCTAATATGCTGATTTGGTGCTCGAGAAACATTTCTTATCAATGTGGGATGTTTTTGTTGCTTAATATTAAGATTAAAAATGTTCAACTAAGTTCATCAAAAGTGACAGAAAATACATTTTGTAATGGTATAAAAGATTTCTATTTCAAATGAGTGCTGTTCATCAAAGAATCGACCAAAATTTTAAGAAGCAAAAACTGATTTCAACATTGATAAAAGCTATTATTAATAATTGAGCGATTTTTGTTATTATTATTTTGCAAATGTTTTTCC